TATGATTATTGTTATTATTGTTATTATTATCATTATTATTATTATTAAAAGCTACATGCATTCAAAAACAAAGTTTTCAATTGCAGGTGCCTCTGCTTAGGACGCATACGAATGCACATCCCCGTCCAAATCCAAATCCCAGTCCCTCTTGCAATGCCAACACTAAGACTAACACTGATGCCAATGCTAATTCATACCAAGACCAAAACCAATGCCAATACTAACGCCACAATGTATGCTAGAGTTCATGTATGCGTGTATAATATCTGTATATATATATATATATACATACATATATATATATATCTAAGTATGTATAAAAATAAGTATTAATCTTTAGATATTCACATGAGTATGAGCAGAAGTGCCATGGCGATCCGGTAGAAGCCTCCATGTGCCCCTCAAACCGTTAGTTTAAGGTTTAGGGTTTGGGGGCCCGTAACCCTGCACCCGAAACCCCTACATCCGAATGAACCCTGAGAAGCCTTCTGAAGGCCATCGAGCCGGTTTTGACGCACTTGGGGTGCCGTGGCCTCAGCTACAGAGGCAGGCGCCTTCCGTTTTTCCGCGCCAGTTCGACAGTTCGTTTCTGCCGGAAGGAAGCTCTAGCTTGATGTCCCGCAGAGCTGTATGCGCTCCAGCGACTCCGTGTTTTCTGGTGTATCGAAGTTCCATGTAGGACTTGCGCGATGGCGCGCTGGGTGGGCTTTCTTCTGATCGCCCTTGCAGCCGGGCTCCGGTCGAAGAGCGATGCAATTTGGCCCTGGGAGGAGCGCCCGGCGAGCACGGCCGAGGCCGAGGAGCTTCAGGAGCTCCTGAGAACTTTGCTGGCGGAGACCAACTCAGCTGAGGCCACGAGGGAAGGGCCCCGCGATGCCGAGGCGCAAGAGCGGACGCTTCGAGAGCGGATTGACCGCATCAGGAAGGACTGGCAGAGCCCCAGCGCAACCGCTTGCCATCAGCAGCTGGGGCGGTTGATGAACAGCCTCACCATTGAATGTGGTGGCTTACAGCCGAAAGCCGATTGGCTTCTCGACTACTATGTGCCGGCCCTTCCGAACAAGACCTGTGACGAGAGCGTCAGCGACATCTTCGCGTTAGGAGACGAACTGGTGGAAACCCTCCGCGTCTCCAGAGATGCTGTAGCCTCCTTGGATGTGGACGGCAAGACGCTCCGTCGATATCAAGCGCTCTCCTTTCTTAGGAGCTGGCTGGTGAAGCTGACTGAGACTCGTCATCATGCATTGCTTTGGGCCGGCTTCTGGGATGGGGACCCCGAGAACCGCACGACCATGACGAAGCTTTCCAACTTTGCCAAGGAAATAGAGCACGCGACCGTGCACCCCACCACCTTCTTGGGACGAGCCATCGAGGCGAGCGAGAACCTCGACGCCTGCTACAAGGACCCCCAGACCAGTGCGCTTGCAGCCAACATGTGGTCAATTGCCAGCATGAGCTTCGTGCTCGGGATGCGCGACAAGGCACAGGGAACGGTCATCGCACTGGTCAACAAGCAGATCACGGGCGAGCGTAACTTGGTCAGAGTTCGTGCTGTCCACGCATGAAATCATGAAATCCCAACTGTGGGGCTCGCCGCCTGGGGCCTCGGGTTCTGGTCTTCGGAAGTGCTGGTTGTGGACCTCATGGGCACCTGCTACAAAACGAGCCCCGCACTGCAGAAGCGGCTCCTCGCCCGCTTGCCCTTTTGGGCCAAGTCCATGAGGAAGTGGAGCCCAGAAGCCTTCTCGATGAGGTCGCGGCTCCGGTGGCAGTGCATCGACTGCTCGGGCGCTTGCAGCCT